GATGTGTGTGCGCGCACGCAGCGGAGCGCGCTCAAAACTCCGCCAGTGCGCACGTGGTCGTGGGGGAAGTGGTGGTGGTGGTTTCGCCGAGGCAGGGGTCTGAGGCACACGCGCGGAAGCGTGGCGGGGATTTGCTGGCGCTCCCAGAACCTGTCAGAGGGCTGGTAGGCTTGGGTGTGGTTCGGCCGCTACCTCGCTGGCGAGGCATCCGTCCCTAGTAGGGGGAATGTAAGGAATTTTCCCGAATTCCTTATCGGGGTTGACTGCTTCGCGTACAACCCGATTTTCGGAGTTCGCACGTTCGGCCGATTTCAACGCTGCCGAGGCTCCTCGCGTCGCCTTCGGCATTTCCATCGCCAAACCTGCACCCAACCTCGCTCGTCCGAGGTTTCCTCCTAGCTAGGCTAGCCCTACATTAGTCTGTGCATTCATTGTATTCTCAGTTCATTCGATCACAGTCTCGTTATTCGTTTACCTGCGCACTCTCTTTTACAACTCATAACATCTGGTGTCAGAGCTACTTTCCTAGTTCACCCCGCTTTTCCGAGGGTAGATTGGTGGCATAGGGTGTGGCTGGTTTAGTGACTACACGACGGTTGGCTGCAGGGATTGTTAATTCAATCCTGCCCGACTCCGATAGTTCGTGTTTTCACTTGCCTGAAGGCCACGGAGACCCGACTGCCCACCAGACGTAGCGCTAGGCACATGGATCAGGAGGCGGTTAACAGGATGATGACGCAAGTGGCAGAAATGCAGGAGAGCATGAAGACATTAATGGCGGAAGTGACAACACTGCGAGAGGAAAACGCCGAGCTACGCCAGATGCGAGGTGAAGCGCGTCAGGAGTCGCCTGTGGACGAAGGCGAGGGCAACAGTCAGGCGATGAGCAATCCGCTGGATGCGCTCACACGTGACTTCGAAGAGGAGGACAGGCAGCGAGCGGCAGCAGCGCCAGTTGCAGTAACGACGATCAAGATCAAGCCCGTTAACCCGCCCCCGTTTAATCCTACGGACAAGACGGTTACGGTAAAAGGGTGGCTGTTCGGGGTCGAGGTCTTTTTTACTGCAGCCGGCGTTAATGACGACGCCACGCGTATTAATTACGCGGTTTCGCTTCTTCGAGGTGCAGCGCTTGAGTGGTGGCGCCGAACCTTGGAAACAGGGACGCCGACAGGTGTGACGCATGCGGCAGACGGGACCTCAACAGTGACTAATCAAGTGGCACAATCAATCTTCCGAGTGACCACGATACGCACGTGGAAGGAGTGGGGCGCAGCCTTACGAGATCGCTTCGAGCACGTATCCGCCTCGGAGCAAGCTCGCATGAAGCTGCGTGCATGGTCGCAGATGGCTTCTGTCCAAGACTACACGGCGTCATTTATGGGCCTCGCCGACCAAGTTGATGATATGTCGGAAGCTGAGCGGTTAGATAAGTACATCAGCGGCCTCAAATACGAGATACAGTACGAGGTTCGCAGGGGCCGCCCGACATCATTTCTTGCAGCAGTACGGCTGGCGGAGTCTACAGATGCGCTGATGCAGTACGCGAGAGCAGCTTCCCGGGAGGGAAACCGCTTTCGTGGCCAGACCCATCGGGCCACGATCAACGCCGTCCATACACCCGACCGCCCTCCTAAGGGACCGTGTTACCGGTGTGGGAAGACGGGTCACTACATGAAAGACTGCCACGAGAAAACGCCGCTGACGGGGAACGACAGGAAGGAGCAGGGAAATGGGAAGAGTCAGTAATTAGCGGGCCCTTTACTGACTGTGCTCCGTCGCCCGAACCCCACCATCCCCACCGAGTCGTGGTTCCGATTCATGCAATCGATCGCACTCGGCCGAATAACGGGGATACACATGTGGATCACCCTGTGCTGGTCGCTGGCACGGTGTTAAAAAATAACTTGAAAATGTTCGTCGATGGAGGGGCCAGCCATAGCCTCTTCAACTTGGCGAGCGCAAAAAAATGCAAGCTGCAACTTGACAGGTGTCTGCCCGAAATTGACGCCCGCCTCGTGGATGGGACGCCTCTGGCGATAACGGAAGAAACACGGACGGTCAGGATCGAATGCGGCGACGATTTCGGCTTCAGCATGAAGTTTCTCGTGACAACATTGGACGGCTGCGACGTGCTGCTGGGACGTGATTGGCTGCGACGGCACAACCCCGTCATCGACTGGACAACGGGATCGTGCAGCATCAACAAGCACGAGGGGCTAATTAAACTACCTGCATGGACGCCTGACTACATCCAAGCCCCGTGCGTCAAAGCTATCACTATAGCTCGCCACTTCAACAGAGGCGCGCAACTGTTCGCTGTTTGCTTACGCGAGTTGGCGGTTGACACCGACGGAAAGGACATCGAGAAGCTGTGTGCAGCTGTACCACCGGATTTAGCGGAGCTGATTCGGAGGTACCCGGACATTTTCCCCGACGACCTGCCACCTGGACTGCCACCCGAGAGACCTGAGGACCACAAAATCCAGCTGGAACCTGGCGCGCAGCCGACTGTTCGGACACAGTGGCGGTTGACCCAGCCGGAACTCGAGGAGCTGCGAAGTCAAATTGACGCACTGTTGGAGAAAGGGTTCATTCGGGCCAGCACATCTCCCTTCGCAGCACCGATCCTGTTCACCCCAAGAAGGACGGCGGGCTTCGCATGTGTATCGACTATCGCGCGCTGAACCGGGTCACCATCAAGTCTCGCTACCCAATCCCACGCACCGACGACCTCCTCGACCAACTTCGCGGCGCTCGATATTTCTCGAAGATTGACTTACGTGGCGGTTACCACCAGATTCGAGTCTTCGCCGACGATTGTCACAAGACTGCGTTTCGCACACGCTATGGGAGTTACGAATTTACAGTGATGCCTTTCGGCCTCACGAACGCGCCTTCGACTTTTCAACTGACCATGAACAGGGTTTTTCGGGATCTTCTAGACCGGTGTGTCATCGTCTACTTGGACGATATCCTCATTTTTAGCAAGACACGGGAGCAGCACCTCCGCGACCTGGATGCAGTGTTTAAGCGGCTGCAGGAGAACCGACTCATCACCAAGGGCTCTAAGTGCGAGTTTTTTAAGCAGGAGTTGGAGTTTTTGGGGCACGTCATCTCGCGCGACGGCATTAAAATCGACCCGGCGAAAATCAAGACCATACAGGAGTGGAAGTCCCCGACGAACGTCACGAAACTCCAGAGTTTTCTCGGATTCGTGAATTACGTCCGGCGGTTTATCCCGAATATGGCGGGGATAACCGGCCCGCTGACCGACCTGCTGCACAAGGACAGGAATTTTGTGTGGGGGGAGGAGGCAGAAGCGGCTTTCCAGGAACTCAAGAATTTCCTCGTTTCCCCTCCTGTGCTGCGCATCGCCGACCCATCGAAGCCGTTCGGAGTTGTAACCGACGCCTCAGATTTTGCCATCGGAGCTGTGCTTCTCCAAGACTTTGGGAACGGGTTGCAGCCGATAGCCTACGAATCACGCAAGCTGCAGGCAGCCGAACGCAACTACCCGATCCACGACAAGGAGATGCTCGCCATCATACACGCGTTTAAATTATGGCGATGCTACCTAGTGGGCGCCGACGTCACTGTTCGCACGGACCACAAGTCCCTACAGTACCTGCGAGCCCAACCCAACCTCAACCCACGACAGATTCGGTGGCTGGACTACATGGAGAGCCACTTCACCTACCGCATCACGTACAAAAAAGGGGCTAATAACATCGCCGACGCCCTGACCCGACCGACAGTACAATCCGCTGCAGTACTCATCACCCACTCAAACCCGTTACTTACCGGACTATTTACCCACGGCTACACGACGGACCCATTCTTCACGACGGGAAATCATCAGCAGGCTACGACGCAGAAAGGGGACTATTACCTAAAAGCCGGAACCGACCGGATTTGGGTTCCCGCTTACCGACTGCTGCGTGAACTTCTCATCCAGGAAATCCACGATTCGAACTTCTCCGGACACTTCGGGGTTGATAAAACCCAGAAACTACTGCACCGTCAATATTACTGGCCTGATTCATCTAACGACGTGCAGCGCTATGTGTCCTCATGAAGGGTGTGCCAAGCAATGAAATCGACACGTCAGCGACCAGCTGGGCTGCTGCAACCCCTCGAGCCACCCGAACGACCGTGGCAGCAAGTGACGATGGATTTCGTCACGGGGATGTCAGATTTATATGACATAGCTGCTGTAGGCTATAGTGGGGTAGCACATATGGGGTACAGTTTTCTAGGGTTTGTACTTGTACCCAACTTTCCCTTAGTCAATCTCATTCCTCGTCATTTCACATGCGGGTTCCCTCGTGGGAACGCTTCCTAGGGCCCACCAATCGAAAAAAAAAATTTTCCTGCCCGGAGCGCGCTTCGCTCCTGCCCGAGTCGCGCCTCGCGTGCCCTCCCTACCGTCGCG